CCGGTCTTCCCAGGTCCCTCCCTCCCCTCCCTGCCTCGCCTGCGCCGCCTTGCCTTCCTTGCGTCGAGGGGCGGCAGCGCGCCGCTCCTCACTCCTCCTCGTTCCCCCCGACAGAGGCTCCTCTGCAGACCCTCCACCTGGACGTGTGGGGCCCAGCCCGCGTTCGTGGTCAGGGCGGTGAGCGGTACTTTTTGCTGGTTGTCGACGACTACTCGCGTTACACCACGGTCTTCCCCTTGCGCACCAAGGGTGAGGTCCCTGCTGTTCTGATCCCTTGGATCCGCACGGTTCGTCTCCAGCTCCGCCGCCGTTTCCGGACGGATCTTCCTGTCCTACGTCTGCACTCTGACAGAGGTGGTGAGTTTTCCTCCGATCTCTTGAGGACCTTCTGTCAGGCGGAGGGCATCGAGCAGACCTTCACGCTTCCGGACTCCCCACAGCAGAATGGGGTTGCTGAGCGCCGCATTGGCCTGGTCATGGAGGTCGCTCGTACCTCCTTGGTCCACGCGGCGGCTCCCCATTTTCTGTGGCCGTTTGCTGTCCGGTACGCCGCGCATCAGCTCAACCTCTGGCCCCGTGTCTCCTTGCCGGAGACCTCGCCCACACTGCGTTGGACGGGGGAGGTTGGCGATGTGTCGCGCTTCCGGGTGTGGGGTGCTCGTGCCCTTGTCCGCGATACGTCTGCGGACAAGCTCTCCTCCCGCACGCTTCCCTGTGTCTTCCTTGGCTTTGTCCCTGATGCGCCTGGCTGGCAGTTTTACCACCCCACCTCGCGCCGGGTCTTCGCCTCTCAGGATGTCACCTTTGACGAGTCGGTCCCTTTTTACCGTCTCTTCCCCTACCGCACTGCCCCCCTCCCTCCCCCGCCGCTTTTCCTTGCTCCTGGTCCCCCTCCGGTAGACCCCCTTCCCCCTCAGGGTCCTGCTCCTTCAGGTGTCTCTCAGGTAGACCCTCCTCCCGTCGCTGAGCCTGTCGAGTTCACAGGTGACTCAGGTGCTGCTGCGGGTGGTGCTGCTGGGAGTGCTGAGCCTGGGGGTGCTGAGCCTGGGGGTGCTGGGCCTGGGGGTGCTGGGGCTGCAGGTGCTGGGACTGAGGGTGCTGGAGCTGAGGGTACGGTGCCTGAGAGTACGGAGCCTGGGGGTGCTGCGCCTGGGGGTGCTGAGCCTGCGGGTGCGGGGCCTGGGAGTGCTGGGACTGCGGGTGCTGGAGCTGCGGGTACTGAGCCTGCGGGTACTGAGCCTGGGGGTGCTGCTACTGAGCCTACGGAGCCTCGGGTTACTGCGTCTGGGGGTGCTCCGGTTCGGGGTGCTGAGCAGTCTCTCACACCGCAGCAGCTTCGCGACTGGTACGTCCGACGCTTTCGCCGTCCTAGTGGCTCGGCTGGAGTTTGGGGTGCTGGAGCTGCTCGTCCTGGGGGTGCTCGTACTGGGGGTACTGGAGCTGCCGGGACTGGCTGTTCTGGGAGCACTGCGACTGGAGCTGCTGGAGCTGGGGACTCTGGCGCTGGCGGTGCTAGCGGAGTTGGAGCTGCCGACTCTGGGGGTGGCGCTGCTGCTGGTGCTGAGGAGTCGGACGGTGGAGCTGCTGCTGGAGCTGGGGACCCGGCCGGTGGAGCTGCTGCTGGTGCTGTGGACCCGGACGCTGGAGCTCCTACTGGTGCTGAGGACCCGGCCGCTGGAGTCCCGTCTGCTTCTGGAGACGCTGCGCGGCCGCGACCGTACTTCGTACCGCTCCTTCAGCAGGTTCTTGGGCAGGCTCCTCCTCCTTGTCCTCCTCCCTCCGTAGAGTGTCCTCCGCCTGTCCAGCCGCAGTCACAGTTACCGCCTGCCTCGCCTCTCCCTGCTCCCTCTCCTTACACTGGTCCCACAGGAGGTCTTACAGAGCGTCGTGAGCCTGAGTCTCGTCCTGCGTCGCCTGTTCGTCCTGCTCGCACTGGTAGTCGTGTCCGTCGTGAGCGTCCTCCTCCTGTCCCAGGCACTCACTACATGACTCTGCGTCCCTCTACTGCTCCTCGGCGTGTCCCTCTACCGTCTCCTCCTGCGTCCTCTTTGCCTGCCGTTCCGGACCCTGAGTCTGACCGGTATCGCGCTGAGCACCCTACAGTCACGCGTCTCCTTGCTACTGTTGTCACTGACCCCACCTTTGAGTCCTCGGCTGCGTCTGCTCTGGTCGCTGAGTTGGTTGACTTTGCTGCTGCCTGTCGTCTAGACTACGCTGCTAGCCTTGTCGCTGAGTCAGAGTCTGCGTCTGTCTGTCCTCCGTCCGTCGGGGGTGAGTGTGCTCTTGGCACGGACGTCCTTGAGGACAGGCAGGAGGACTTTGACTCTCTTGCGGCTGCTGTACCTCATCTCGTGGCCTGGTTGCTTGCCCCTGAGGGAGACCCGGATGCAGTAGACATCCCCACTCCGCGCACTTACGCAGAGGCGATCTCGGGTCCCTACTCCTCTCAGTGGCAGACAGCCATGGACGCAGAGATGGCATCCTGGAAGTCCACAGGCACCTACGTCGACGAGGTTCCCCCTCCTGGGGCGAACATCGTCGATGGCATGTGGATTTTCAGGGTGAAGCGGCCGCCAGGTTCTCCGCCTGTCTTCAAGGCTCGTTACGTTGCTAGAGGCTTCAGTCAGCGTCAGGGGGTCGACTTCTTCCAGACCTTCTCCCCCACCCCGAAGATGACCACTCTTCGGGTTCTGCTGCACGTTGCTGCTCAGCGTGACTACGAGCTTCACTCTCTTGACTTCAGCACAGCGTTCCTACAGGGCAGCCTGCACGAGGAGATCTGGCTGCGCCGCCCACCTGGCTTTACTGGGTCGTTTCCCCCTGGTACCCAGTGGAGTCTCCGCCGGCCAGTCTACGGTCTCCGCCAGGCGCCACGTGAGTGGCACGACACACTGAGGACTACTCTTGCGGCTCTTGGGTTCGCGCCGTCTACTGCTGACCCGTCGCTGTTTCTGCGCACAGACACGTCGCTGCCGCCGTTCTACATCCTCGTGTACGTCGACGACTTGGTCTTTGCTACTGCTGACACTGAGGCACTCGCTCGTGTGAAGTCGGAGCTGCAGAAGAGACACACCTGCACTGACCTGGGTGAACTGCGTAGCTACCTTGGCTTGCAGATCACCCGGGACAGAGCTCGCCGCACCATCACCCTGACTCAGTCACACATGGTGCAGCAGGTCCTTCAGCGCTTCGGCTTCCAGTTCTCCTCACCACAGGCCACACCTCTGGCTACCAGTCACTCTCTCTCAGCTCCACCTTCGGACGAGTCCGTAGAGCCGAGTGGCCCGTACCCAGAGCTTGTAGGCTGCCTCATGTACCTGATGACTTGCACGCGACCTGACCTCGCGTACCCTCTTAGCATCCTTGCTCGTTACGTTGCGCCTGGGAGACACAGGCGAGAGCACTGGGAGGCTGCTAAGAGGGTGCTGCGTTACCTGTGCAGTACATCAGGCATGGGGCTGGTGCTTGGAGGACGCGACAGAGTTGTCCTCACTGGTCACTCGGACGCCTCTTGGGTGGACGACCTGGCTACGCAGCGGTCGTCACAGGGTTACACCTTCAGCCTTGGCTCAGGTTCTGTCTCGTGGCGGTCCACCCGCTCTTCCTCTGTTCTCGGCTCTAGTTGTGAGGCTGAGATCTACGCCACAGCCATGGCTGCACAGGAGTTACGCTGGCTCACCTACCTGCTGACTGACTTGGGAGAGCGGCCTAGTTCTCCTCCAGTTCTGTACGGTGACAACAAGGCGGCTCTTGCCTTGTGTCAGGAGCACAGACTGGAGCACAGGACGAAGCACATTGCTCTTCGCTACTTTCTTGCTCGAGAGCTTCAGCAGCGCGGTCAGCTTCGGCTTGTGTACGTGGACTCGAAGGCCAACACTGCTGATATCTTCACCAAGGCGCTCCCGCCTAGTGATCATCAGCGGCACTGTACTTCTTTAGGCCTTGTGTCCACGTTTCCTCACTTGCTCACTGCTTGACATTCTTTGTACTGTACTTTATATATATCTTGTTGCTTGCTTGCTAGGTTTTGATCACTGTGTTGCTTGTCTTGTACTATATCTAGCACTGCATGTGAACTGGCCTTGTGGCCTTTACTTGTGCTCGGAGTGTGGTGACGTTGTGATCCACCCTGGGCTTTGTTTTGCTTTGCTGGAGTGGCTTGTGACCCTTTGTTCTCCCCCACTTTGCCTATGGGGGTGTGTTAAACTGTATTATGCTTGTAGGCTGTAGTGGGGTAGCCAATATGGGGTACAACCCCAACTAGGGTTTCATATTTGTACCCAAACTTCTGTTAGTTCATCCATTCTTGCCTAGTGATTCTGATACATCGAAGTTCAACTAATTACGCCAACACTGTTATGTTAAGCAACTCGAAGTTCTTTGTAGGTCGATTAGCTTTGCGACGAATCTGACACCTTTTTAGGGTTTGTTATTCCCTTTTCTTCTCCCTCGCTGGCTGAGCTTCGCTCATGTTTGACTCTACCTACCAGAACGAGTTCCTATCCTACTAAGGTGAGAGCTACCTTAACCCATCAAGTAGATTAAGTTAGACGATTAAGAGCTAGACGAATGTTGGCCTAAGACATGTTAGTATTGCTCGTGTTGGTAGCTTCTAAAGGATGAAAGTCGTTTAAGGCTTAGGTTGTAAACTTGCTGCAAAAAATTTAGCTGCAGGTTTTCCATAAGCCTGCATCCGTTTTCCGGTTCTTCATTGACTAACATCTCCTAATCTCGTGTCTTAACTGTTTCTAAAGGATGCGGCTTGTTTAAGCTAAGGGTAGAGGCCCATTGTAAAGACTTCGCCTTTTTTCCTCACATTTTTTAGGTCATATCTTCGTCTCTTACTGCATATCTAGCATCTATTTCTTTTGTTTTTCATCGTTTCTGCCTTTCGTCTCTACGTCGTATGCATATTTTCACTTTTTGTTGTTCCTAGATCTAGAACCGTCATATCCTCCTATTTGCCGCGAAGTCGCTTTAGGCCTAAGATTTCTGTCGGTTTATTCATTATCTTTCATAATCTCATTGCTTTTCATTCTCGTATGGCGTCTCTCTCCTTGTCCAACTTTCTCGCTCGTCCCCCTCCGCCTCGTCCGCCCACCTCTTTCCTTTGTCCGCCTCACTTTGTATCTCCTTACTACTTTCTTCTCTTGTTCGTTCACTCTCTCTCTCTTGTTCCTTCTCTCTCGTTCTCTCTCTCTCTCTCTCTCTCTCTCTCTCTCTCTCTCTCTCTCTCGCTCTCTCTCTCTCTCTCGTTCTCTCTCGCTCTCTCTTCTCTCTCTCTCTCTCTCTCTCTCTCTCTCTCTCTCTCTCTCTCTCTCTCTCTCTCTCTCTCTCTCTCTCTCTCTCTCTCTCTCTCTCTCTCTCTCTCTCTCTCTCTCTCTCTCTCTCTCTCTCTCTCTCTCTCTCTCTCTCTCTCTCTCTCTCTCTCTCTCTCTCTCTCTCTCTGTCTCTCTCTCTCTCTCTCTCTCTCGTTCTCTCTCTCTCTCTCTCTCTCTCTCTCTCTCTCTCTCTCTCTCTCTCTCTCTCTCTCCTCTCTCTCTCTCTCTCTCTCTCTCTCGCTCTCTCTCTCCCTGTCTCTCTCTCCCTCTCTCTCTGTGAAATTCACACCTAAGGGATATCGTTGTTTCCTGTTTTGTTACTTGCTCTGTTTTTTGGGTTCTGTTTTTTTATGTATATCTATGTTCACCACCATTAGCTTGCATCCTGTTTGGTTATTATGCTTTTCTCCTCACTGCCTTGCTTTCTTTTTCCATTTTCTTCGCGATTTGATACTTCTTTTCTCCTTCCCCCCCGGTTCCATCTCTCCCTCTGCTTCATTCGTTGCTATTTGTTTTTCCAGATTTTTCTTTGACTTTCTTTCCAGATGTGTACATCTGCGAAGCGAAGAGTTCATGTGAAGTGGATAGTAGTGGTGACTTGTAAAATTGTATTGTATTGATGTTCACATGTTTTATTGTTTTGCAGTTTGTGCATTAGTTTTTTTTTTTTCTTTTTGTGAATGTGTGTGATGTTGTATATGCGTTTGTATGTATGTATGTGTGTGCGTGTGTGTGTGCTATGTGTACGTGCACTCATCCACATCCATCGCAATAACAATGCATGTCTGTGAGTTTAAAAAAGATGGCTCAAGTCTATCATTTCACATAAGGTTCATTGGCGCACAAAGTGACTCGTGTGCGACCACTTCGAACTGATTTGATAGGTTTGACCATTTTTTTAGAATATACAGACTGTGTTGTTTCATGTGACTGTTGATTATTCAAAAGCCAAGCTATTGACCTCCCCCCCATGCTAGGCAGGGGATGGCGGTAGCTTAGTTTTTGGGTAGTTAACTGTCACGCATTTTATTACCATATGTACATATGCATCAAGACGTCTCATACCGTACATTATGCATCTTATAGCATCATTTATGCATTAAGCATGCATCTATTCATCATTATCATAATAGCATCTAATAGTAAAACATGGACGTATTATATTAAAAATTATGCATCTTATAGCATCATTTATGCATCAAGTGTGCATCTGTTTATCATTACCACAATAGAACAGTAAAACATGCAACCAGTACAGCAAATCTGCACTAACAACTGCAAAAATATCACATGATTTAATGCACTGTAAACAGTACCAAACTGCTAAACATGCATACAGTATGTGAAGAGTATTACTGTAGCTTACGAATTTTAATTTCATGATTTTCATAAATTAATTAATCATGAAAATAAAATTTGGCAAAATCGATCGTAAAGGGTTGCTTCGCAACCAAAAAAAAGCAGTTTTGGGAGCAGAATGGAGCGCCACATCATCCACTCCACGCCAAAATGCTGGACTTTGACCTCTGCTCGTCTAGAGCTTCGTCTAAGGCAAGAATTCGTCCTCGCTTGCAATTGCGAGGCAAGGAATCGAGTGGGGTGGGACGAAGAAACCCAATACCCCTCCCACTAGGTGTACCCACCGTCTTGCTCTCCGCGTTGTCAATAGTTGCGGCAGCACTGGATGCCTCACTCCACGCCAAAATGCTGTGGCATTTCCCTTGACTAACTGGGCAATCACCCTGTCTCGATTGAAAGATACAGGTGTTTCTAATAGGAGCCCTGATTTCGACAAGGACATGTTTGTCTCAGCCTTGAAAAACTTACATTGTTTTGCAAGACTTGTCCCTGTGATATCGCACCCAAACGCCACACGCATCTCGCCCCTTGATGGTCACTTAGTAGAATTTAAAAACCATTCAGGCCTAGTTCTCTGCTGCTCGTTGCATTTCGTTGGGGCATTCTCGCTTGGAAACCGGTCATGTTCTTCCCCACCCTTCAAAAGTTTTCGAAGTTTACGACTCTGCTCCAAACCTCTAGTTCAACGTTGCACTTCCTAACCTGGCCCCCAAACCCATCATCCATTGATTCGTTTCCCGAGGAAATAATGCTTCCCATCCCCAAACAGATGCAACCTATGCTCTCATGCTTTCCATCCCACAAAAAATGGTGGTGGAACGCAGTTTCCCAGGCCTTTTCTTAGTTTCGAAGTCATCCAGACTGAGATTGTGCACGATAAGCCTGCACGGGAAAGACTTCCCTTCGTTCTCAGCAGAGAGAGTTCCCTTCCTCCCACTACAGCACATTTGTCGAAAGCCCACGACGCTAGGCCCTGTCAACATGGCTGTTTGTGTCAAAGCCGTGCCCACAAGTTTTTTATCGTTTGCGGGCAGTGGAAGGCAAGAGGGTGTACTCGGATTTTGCGGCGCTCGACGTCCAGCGAGAATTCTGTCTCTTTGGCAGAAAGACAACTTGAATGTTTACTACTCTATTTGTAGTGTCGTTTCACGAGCGCACCTGAATCCGTTTCGATTCTGCGGTTGATGATGGATCACACGGTGATAGATCACTGCCAGCCGAGCTGATGCGAAAAATTGGTTTGGGTGGCTGGGGAACTCAAGAACCCCGTCAGTAATCTACGCAGCCAATCACAGGCGATCGGAAGATGTATCACAGTTTAGTACCTGGTCATCGACGTAGATACCAGCTGTCTTTACTGAGTAATCGACAAAAAGGTGAGGAGTGGTGGGTGTGTCGTTAGTGGCCAGCATGCCTTCTGTCGTGTATTGCCGCCGAGACGACTCCGAGTAGGTTCAGACATTCCGTTTCGAGCAGTCGGGTTTCATTTGCGTGGAAGGCGCGGCGGCGCCTAGCGCTCGCTTTCGACCTCAGAAAGGACGCACCGCCGATGCGCGGGCAAAGGTCAATTTCTCTCCTCCACCCCCTCTCGCTCGCTTCTCCACCTGGCAACGGGTCAATGCGCGACCCTCGGAAGATCGGCTCTCCCCGCCGAGGATGATAAGCTCCCCGCGGAGGAGAAGGATAAGCTCTCCCCCGGGATAATAGGAGCTCTCCCCCGCTACGCTGGACACTAAATAGTGCAGTCGCTAAGTCAAGCGCTTGACTTCCCCTTTGGTCCTCGCGCTGCTTGTGCTTGACTTTCCCCTTTGGTCCTAGCGCTTTCTAGGGCGAGGGGGAAGACCTCTCGGGGGAAAAGGTCCCCATGGGAGCGGGAAGGGGGAGGGGAGGGGAGGGGAGGGGAGGGGAGGGGGAAGAAAGAGGAGGGAGGCGAGACTTCCTATCGTACATAAGCCCGCGCTTGGGGCTCAATCCACATACTACTATCGCCTTCGCTGCTCGCGACTCACCCCTTTCTGGTTCCTGCTTACCTGTCCTGCTTACCTATCCTGCTTAGCTATCACTGAGAGCATCATGGGCTCCCGTGGACTCGTGCTCGCTGCATTGGTTGCTCTCGTGCTCTCGGGTATGATGCGGCATCATGGGTTCTTGTGGGCTCGTGCTCGCTGCGCTCGTGGCTCATCCTGCTCTCATGCACACCTACCTTTTCCTTGATCTCCGCCTTCTCTCCTTACTTCCTCTCCTCCCCCTCTCCCCCTCCCCCTCTCCCCCCACTCCCCCTGCGCGCCAGTGTGTGCGCCTATGGCGGAGGCTATCCGCGACGCTCCGCTGCCGCCCTGCCCGTGGGGGCAGGCTAGGATAGACGGCAACTGCGCTGGTGTGTGCTTCACCCCTCTCCCTCTTGCGTGCTACACATGGCTGCACCCTGAATTCGCGCACGCCTGTATCGCCAACCTTCTGAAATCTCCCTGACTGATCTGTGCCTGCTGCCATACCTTCTACATGCCGTACATGTCACCAACATCTCTTGACCCCAAAATATCGCTCCTCGTTTCGTGTTTGTGCGTGTTACATGCCTGCACATGTTCTCCTCACGTGCTCACGTGTGTTCTCTGTGTGTCTGCGTGTGTCCTCCACGTGTTGCCTGCCTGCTCCAGACAAGTGCAAGTTTGCGGGTTGTGGCACCGACTCGGTGTGCAAGAAGAACGACACGGGCGACGCAGTCTGCGTGTGCATCAACCCCGAATACGTGCTGCAACCCGACAAGTCATGCGCACGTACGATACATCACCCCTTTGCTTCGGGGGTTGAGGCTCCCCCCCTTTTACTTTGAGCATGCTGGAAGGGTGCCCCTCCCCTTAGCTGGAGCGTTGTGTTCTTCCTTGGTGGCTGAATCTCATTGTGTCTTTTCTTCTTTCCCCTCCCCCCCCCCCTCTTGCCCATGCCCCATGCCCCATGTCTCGCCTTGGCCCCACTGCGCCACGTGGCAGGGTCGTGCGCCACCATGGAGTGTGCGAGACTTTCATCTCAGCCTGATCGTTCTCTTGCCTCCATGCTCCTGCCCCATGCCCTTGCAGACCCGTGTGCCGGCACGTGGTGTGCCATGGATGACCCCAATTCCTCGTGCGTGAAGCAGGAAGGCCAGCTGGCTACGTGCGTCTGCAACTGGGGCTTCGCCATGACGCCCGACCGGGGCTGCGTCGGTCAGTGCTGCTCTGCTGTGCTTCGCATCTGCCTGCTTCAAGCTTCTTAACTCTCACCCGCTTCATTCTGCTGCCTGCTCCTTGTGTACCTCTCTTCCTTTTCTGCCCGCTCTCGTCTCACCCACCTCCCTCCCCTCCCCCCCATCTCTGCCCTCCCTTGGCAGACTCATGCACGCTTAAGGCCTGTGTGGACGGCACGTGCAGCAAGGATGAAAATGGGATGGCCGTCTGTTCCTGTGACGCCGAGGCTGGCTTCAAGCTGCAGCTTGACGGCAGGACGTGCAAGGGTACGTGCTCAATATGGTGCGCGCTGCTGCGGTAGGTGCTGCTGTTGGCTTAAGCTGGTGTATGTTGTGCTGTTTGCAACTCCTGTATGTGCTGCTGTGCTGCTACGTAGTTTCTAACTTGGCGTCTCGTCTCTTCCGCACTTGTCTCCCGCCCGCCTTTCAGACGTGTGCGTCATCGAGGACTGTGAGGGCAAAGACGCCAATTCTACGTGTGTGAGGAATCTGGACGTGGCCCACTGTGTATGCAAGACCAACTTCCAGCTGTTCGAGGGCGTATGCACTGGTACGCTCATAGGTCTTAGTTTGTGTGTGTCTGGGTGTCTTCCTCTCTGTCTTAACTAATGCGTCCGCTTTACTCTCCTCTCTCAAGCTACCTTATGCTCACTCCCCTCCACGCCTCGCCTCCACCCCTCCCCTCCGCATCTGCCCACCCAGACACGTGCGAGGTGAAGGCGTGTGTGGATGGCACGTGCACCCAGGACGTCAACGGAACGGCATCGTGCCATTGTGACGCCGACGCTGGCCTCGTGCTGCTGGATGACGAGAGGACGTGCCAAGGTAAGGGCCGGCGATTGTCAATGCTGACAATGGTAGGTGCCACTGTGTTCTACTTTCCGAACTTTCTCATCTTTCCTTTCGTTTCTGGTTCACCCTCCGTGCAGATGTGTGCATTATCAAGGACTGTGAAGGCAGTGATGCCAACTCCACGTGTGTCAAGAATGGCATCGTTGCAACCTGTGTCTGCAAGACTGGATTCGAGCCGTTTGAGGGCAAATGCACTGGTACGCTCCCTGCTCTCACTTTCTGTGTGCCTGGGTCTGCCTCTCTGTGCGTGCGTCTGTGTATCTGCTTTTTGTTGCTTTGTCCACTCTGGATTGGCCTTTTGCTTAATCCCCTCCACCCCTCCTTCCACATCCCCTCCGCATCTGCCCTCACAGACACGTGCGAGGTGAAGGCGTGTGTGGATGGCACGTGCACCCAGGACGTCAACGGAACGGCGTCCTGCCATTGTGACGCCGACGCTGGCCTCGTGCTGCTGGATGACGAGAGGACGTGCCAAGGTAAGGGTCGGCGTGTTGACAATGGTAGGTGACACTGTGTTTTCAACTCTGTTATGTGCTGTTGGGGTTCAGTCATCTCCTACTTTCCAAACTTTGTCATCTTTCCGTTTCTGTTTCATCCTCCGTGCAGATGTGTGCATTATCAAGGACTGTGAAGGCAGTGATGCCAAATCCACGTGTGTCAAGAATGGCATCGTTGCAACCTGTGTCTGCAAGACTGGATTCGAGCTGTTTGATGGCAAATGCACTGGTATGCAGCACGCTTCCTGATCTCACTTTCAGTGTGCCTGGGTGACTGGGTCTGTCTCTCTATGCATGCATATGTTGGTTTTTGTCACATTTCTCTCCTTCTCAATCAACCTTTTGCTGAATCACCCCTCTTTCCACGTCTCTCTCGCATCTGCCCTCACAGACACGTGCGAGGTGAAGGCGTGTGTGGATGGCACGTGCACCAAGGACGTCAACGCTGCCATTGTGACGCCGACGCTGGCCTCGTGCTGCTGGATGACGAGAGGACGTGCCAAGGTAAGGGCAAGCGATTGTTGCTGCTGAGTAGGCCCCCCTGTGTTTGCAACACTGTTATGTGCTGTTGTGGGCTCAATCTCGTGTGTGTTGTGCCGATTGCAATTGCTGTACTACTGTGCCGTCTTGTCTCTCTCTCTCCCACTTCTCTCCCGTCCGCCTTTCAGACGTGTGCATCATCGAGGACTGTGAGGGCAAGGACGCCAAGTCCATGTGTGTGAGGAATCGGGACGTGGCTCACTGTGAATGCGTGATCAACTACGAGCTGTTCCAGGGCAAATGCACTGGTACGCTTCCTGGACTCACTTTGTGTGTGCCTGGGTGTGTGTCTCTCTGTGGGTGCGTATGTGTATCTGCTTTTCATTGACTCGTCCACGTTTTACTGCTCTCTCAAACTACCTTTCGCTTACGCCTCTCCACCCCTCCTTCCACATCCCCTCCGCCCCTGCCCTCCCAGACACGTGCGAGGTGAAGGCATGTGTGAATGGCCTGTGCCGCCAGAACAGCATTACTGGAGCGGCATCCTGCCATTGTGACGCCGACGCTGGCCTCGTGCTGCTGGATGACGAGAGGACGTGCAAAGGTAAGGGCCGGCGTTTGTCGATGCTGACAATGGTAGGTGCCACTGTTTCCAAGGCTGTTATTTGCTGTTGTGCTGCAGTCATCTCCTATTTCCCAAACTTTTTTCCTCTTTCTTATTCATCTCTGTTTGACCCTCCGTGCAGATGTGTGCATTATCAAGGACTGTGAAGGCAGTGATGCCAATTCCACGTGTGTCAAGAATGGCACCGATGCCACCTGTGTCTGCAAGACTGGGTTCAATCTGTTTGAGGGCAAATGCATTGGTATGCTTGCCCTTCCTGCCACCACCCCTCCCCTCTCTCCTATACCTGCCAGCTCAGGGGCTGGTAGTTCATAATAGGCCCTTTGCATTTACTGCTTCTTTTGCTCTCCCTCCCTCGGCGTATGTGTGCGTCTCTATGCATTTGTGCTTTCTCATTCCTTTTGTGTTTATGTGTGTTTGTATGCCCACGCCACTCCCCCTTCTCAGAAGCCACCTTTGCTTCCACTTTTCCTTCAACCCTGCCCTTCCAGACACGTGCGAGTTGAAGGGGTGTGGCGTAAACGGCAAGTGCCACAAGGACAGCACCACTGGAGAGCCATCCTGTGTTTGCGATCTGGGCTTCACGCTGCAGCCTGATGGCACCACGTGCAAAGGTACGTGCTCACCATGCTGTTTCCTACTCTCCTATTTCTTAGGGCATCTGCTCAATTTTCAAAAACGTCCTCCATTAAACCTTAACCCTCAACCAACCTCCAACCCCTCTTTTCTGACCCTTTTGTCAACCCATTCTTCCAATCCCCTACCCTTAGATAACTGCGAGATCCTGAGCTGCACTGGTCCCAAGGAGCACTGCGCCAAAGAGGTCACCACCGGCCAGGCATACTGCAAATGCGATGATTACTTCCACAGGGCAGTTGGCGGCTTTTGCCAGGGTACGTGTTTTGCAGCAGCAGCTTCACTCGTTTGCCTATCTTCTCCCCTTCTCTTAGCTTGCGCATTCTATTTCCCTTGCACCTCTTCGCACCTCCCGTTTCCTGCTGTTGGCATGTGGCAGCCTGCTGTTCTTGTGGGAAAGGACGGGGAGGGTTTGTATCATCCTCTAGATCGTGCATCAGAAAGAAGTGTTTTTTCCTCATCCCCCCCGTCCAGATTGGTGCCCCTTCAAGGGCTGCAACACCACCATCTCAACTTGCGTGAGGAGGGTGGACGGGATTCCCTTCTGCATCTGCAACAAGGGTGTCCCGCTGACCACCAAGGCTTGCGTTGGTAAGAACCTACTTATTCCTCCTGCATGTGGCTTACAATATCCTCCCTCTCCCTTCCACCCTAATCCCCCACCACCCGACCACCACCACCCCCCCCCCCCCTCCCCCCCCTTCCTCCTGTCTCCCTCCCACTCTATCTCTCTCCCCACTTCAACCCCGTCTCCAGTCCCTTATCCAATTCTTCCGTCATCCTCTTTCTCTCACCCTATCCCCAAGAGATTCTTCCCCAGTCGTTGTCCAACCCCGTCAGCTTGTCCCTTGCATATTCATCTCCTTTTCCGTCTCCCCCCATCATCAGGCAAGGTGCCCTCAGCATAGTCGTGAGGGATGTCTACTCTACTGATGGAACACCCTCATCGCTCTCGTGATGGCACGCTCGCATCACTCCTGTGAAGGCACACCCTCATCAGCCCATCAGCTAGTTTTGAAGATGTTTTTCTTGCACACTATCGCACAGCTGCCAAAGAGGATGAAGGCATGATTTGCGTGCATCAGGACAGTTTCTGCTTGAGTGCCTCTAGAAGGGAGGATAGATCGAAGAGGCTTGGCCATTGTGTGGCATAGAGGGGGCAAGGTCTCCACTCATCACAGTACAAGACGTCAGCCGCATTCACTGGGAAACAGGGCTTCCTTTGTTGTATTTCTGGGTGTTTGGCTGGTCATGGTGTCTGTTGGTTGTCCATTTTGCTTGCTTTTGTTCTTTTCTGCAGAGCCGGTTCTTGCGGTTCCTCAATAAGGGAATGTACCCCTTAGAGTACATGGCTAGCTAGAAATGTCTTGTACTAGAATCATTAGTAACTGTTTGCTTTACAATTCCTATTAAAATTTGGAGTTCCTAGTTCAAGGCCCATAAGAATGACCAGTAGTAGTATTGTAGTTACTAAATGATGGACACTGACTGAATGCAGTATGAAGAAAGTGTAGAGTTTTTTCACACAGAATGCTTCAAGGTTACGGGAATTCAACCCGTGCAAATCAGGGTTGTCAAAAAACACCCTCAAACAAAAATCGACGACAACAGTTCACGTGTTATGTAGGCTAAAAAATCCTTGCCTGTCATAAAGATGCTTCACCCTGACACCCTGGCAGCCAACGGACACACTAGCAAGCAGGGCCCTAGATTCCTTTTGGACCAGGCTCATTCATCAGCCTTGGTACTGAAACAAACGCTGACAATCATCGTTACTCTCAGAAAGTAAATGCAACGGAATGTGGAGACTAGCATCGAGAGGGATACAAAATAAGCAACCTAACAAAGTTGTACTCTCTAAGGAGTACCTCACTACAGTCCACCATAATAATAACATTTGACACACCCCCATAGGCTAAGTGAGGGGCACCCAACAACTAGCAAGTAGAACAGCGGTCACACAACCAGTCAAGCAAAACAAGGCTCAGGGTGGTGCTCAAAGTCGCCACACACTCCGAGCACAAACAAGTGGCCACAAGGCCAGTTCAAGAGTTCACTAGGATATATATAGTAAAGTACAACAAGCAGTGAAAACAACAAGTCTACAGCAACCGAGGGCCTACCTCAACCAGCCCCAGCTGCACACAGAATTGGTACAATGTAGTGGGGTAGCCAATGTAGGGTACAACCCCTTAGGGTTCTCATCCTTGTACCCAACTCTCTCGATACTCAAGACCATTCTCCTCTCACTACTCTAACATGGTATTAAGAGCCTGAGGTCCTTAGCGCCGTGCCTGCCCTTCCCTGCGCCGCGCCACTAGCAGCCCGCGCGACCCGTGCGTCGCCTCTGCTGGCCCGCGCGCCGCCCGCTAACGACCCCTGCGACCCGCACGCAGCCTGCTAGCAGCCCGCGCGACCCGCCAGCTGCACGCACAGCCCGCGCGCGGCTCCTGCCAGCTCGCACGCCGCCCGCTAACAGCCTGTGCGCTGCCGCGGCTGCCTGCTACACCCCGCACGCCGCTCGTCGCGCTGCCCCGCAGCCCTGCGTGCCGCCCGCCCGCCTGCCCTGCTGGTCGCTTGTAGCCCCGCGCGCCGCCTGCCTCTGCCATGGCTGCCTGCTACGCCGCCCGCCCTGCTGCTGCAGCCGCCCGATACGCTGCAGCCGCCCGCCCTGCTGCTGCGCTCGTGCGCCGCCCGTCCTGCTGCTGCAGCCACCCGCTACGCCCTGCACGCGGCCTGCCCTGCTGCCCTGCCGGCCGCCTGTAGCCCCGTGCGCCGCCTGCCCCTGCCGCGGCTGCCTGCTACGCTCTAGTGCGCCGCTCCTACTGCTACTTCTTGCCTGCCATTGCTCTGCCCTGCTAGTCCCGCGCCAGCAGCTATGGCCACCCTCCGCGTTCTCTCGTTCAATGCTAAGGGCCGCGCGATTCAGTTCGAAACCTGGCTCGATGACCTGCAGCTGTTTTTTATGAGCGATAGCAAGGACAATGTTGTTAGAAGGCTGGGATTGCATGGATGAACTAAGGCAAGAATGTGATACAAGTATGAAACCCTAAAGGGGTTGTACCCCTTAGTGGCTATCCCACTGTAGCCTACAAAACACAAACAACAAATATAGTTCAACACACCCCCATAGGCAAAGTGGGGGAGAACAAGCGGTCTCAAGACCAGTCAAGAAAAGCAAAACAAGCTCAGGGCAGATCCCAACGTCACCACACACTCTGAGCACAAGCAAAGAAGGCCACATGGCCAGTTCACATGCACTGTTATATAAGAGAGAGCAAGTAGAACAGTGATCACTACCTAGCAAGTGTAGGCATGCAGGTATATATAATGAATCACAGTACAAGCAAGGTCAAGCAGTAAGCAAGTGTGAGAACGTAGGCACGAGACCTAGAGCAGTGCAGTGACGCTGATGATCACTAGGCGGAAGTGCCTTGGTGAATATATCAGCTGTGTTCGCCCACGTATCCACGTAAGCAAGGCGAAGCTGGCCGCGCTGCTGTAGCTCTCGAGCAAGAAAGTAACGCAGAGCGATATGCTTTGTCCTGTGCTCCAGTCTGTGCTCCTGACACAAGGCAAGGGCTGCCTTGTTGTCGCCGTACAGAACTGGAGGAGAACGCGGCCGCTCTCCCAAGTCAGTCAGCAGGTAAGTGAGCCAGCGTAACTCCTGTGCAGCCATGGCTGTGGCGTAGATCTCATCCTCACAACTGGAGCTGAGAACAGAAGACGAACGGGTAGACCGCCAAGAGACAGAACCAAAACCAAGGCTGAAGGTGTAACCCTGCGACGACCGCTGCGTAGCCAGGTCGTCAACCCAAGAGGCGTCTGAGTGTCCAGTGAGGACAACGTCACCCCGTCCTCCAAGCACCAGCCCCATGCCTGATGTACTACACAAGTAGCGCAGCACCCTCTTAGCAGCCTCCCAGTGCTCTCGCCTGTGCCTCCCAGGCGCAACGTAGCGAGCAAGGATACTAAGAGGGTACGCAAGGTCAGGTCGTGTGCAAGTCATCAGGTACATGAGGCAGCCCACAAGCTCTGGGTACGGGCCACTCGGCTCTACGGGCTCGTCCGAAGGTGGAGCTGAGAGCGAGTGACCGGTAGACAGAGGAGTGGACTGTGGTGAGGAGAACTGGAAGCCGAAGCGCTGAAGGACCTGCTGTACCATGTGTGACTGAGTCAAGGTGATGGTGCGCAGGCCAAGGTAGCTGCGCAGCTCACCCAGGTTTGTGCACGTGTGTTTCTTCTGCAGCTCCGACTTCACAAGAGCGAGTGCCTCAGTGTCAGCAGTAGCAAAGACCAGGTCGTCGACGTACACGAGGATGTAGAACGACGGCAGGAACGTGTCGGTGCGGAGGAATATCGACGGGTCTGCAGTCGAAGGATCAAACCCAAGCGCCGCAAGAGTCAGTGTGTCGTGCCACTCACGAGGCGCCTGGCGGAGACCGTAGACTGGCCGCCGGAGGCTCCACTGGGTACCAGGAGGGAACGACCCAGTGAAGCCAGGAGGGCGGCGCAGCCAGAATTCCTCGTGCAGGCTGCCCTGCAAGAACGTTGTGCTGAAGTCAAGAGAGTGAAGCTCGTAGTCACGCTGAGCGGCAACGTGCAGCAACACCCGAAGAGTGGTCATCTTCGGGGTAGGGGAGAAGGTCTGGAAGAAGTCAACTCCCTGTCGCTGACTGAAGCCTCGTGCAACGTAACTAGCCTTGAAGGCGGAGAACCCGGTGGCTGCTTCACCCTGAAAATCCACATGCCATCAACGATGTTCGCCCCAGGAGGGGGGACCTCGTCGACGTAGGTGCCTGTGGACTTCCAGGATGCCATCTCTGCGTCCATGGCTGTCTGCCACTGAGAGGAGTAGGGACCCGAGATCGCCTCTGTGTAAGAGCGCGGGGTCGGGATGTCTAGTGCATCTGGGTCTCCCTCAGGGGCAAGCAGCCAGGCCACGAGATGAGGTACAGCAGCCGCAAGACAGTCGAGCTCCTCCTGCCTGTCCTCAACGACGTCCGTGCCAAGAGCACACTCACCCTCGACGGACGGAGGACAGACAGACGCAGACTCAGCAACAAGACTGGCAGCGTAGTCTAGACGACACACAACAGCAAATTCAACGAGCTCAGCGACTAAGGCAGACGCAACAGCAGACTCAAACGACGGGTCAGTGACAACAGTAGCCAGAAGACGCGTGACGGTGGGAGTAGCAGCATGAACAGTATCAGAGATAGGGTCAAGAAGCGCAGGAAGAGACAGTAGTGGGACGCATTACGGAGCAGAGGAGGGACGAAGTGCCATGGTGTGAGTGCCCGGCACAGGAGGAGGACGCGGACGCGGGACACGGCGAGCAGTGCGAGCGGCGCGAACAGGCGAGGCAAGACGAGACGCAGGCTCACGACGCTTCATAAGCGAGTCCGTCTGCTCAGTGTAAGGAGAAGGAGCAGGCAGTGGGGAGCCTGGCTGTAACGGGAGGCCAGTAGAAGACGGGAGGGTAAGAACCTGACGAAGCACGGAGTCAGGTGGCAGGAGAGTCGACGGCGACGGCGGAGTGAAGAACAGACGCCGCTGCGCAGCACCACCAGCAGCAGCACCTCCAGTTCTAGCGTCACCAACTCCAACTCCTCCCGCCCCAGAGTCTCCAGCACCAGGAACTCCAGCGTCAGCGCCTCCAGCACCAGGACCTCCAGTCCCAGTGTCTCCAGCTCCAGCGTCTCCAGTGGCAGGGCTGACGGCTCCAGTAGCCTCAGGGCCAGCACCACCAGCCCCAGCAGCTCCAGTACCTCCAGTACGAGCACCTCCGGGACCAACAGCACCAGGGGCTCCTCTAGCACCAGCAGGGTCAGTAGGTCCAGCAGTCCCAGCACCTCCAGCCCCAGAAGCGGTACCACCAGCAGTGCTTGCAGCTCTAGCAGCTCCA